GTGTTCAGCAGAGGGAGAGACTGCCTGCCTGGATAAGACCCTTGAAGGTGGCATGTGTATTTATATCCAGCAGTACTTGTGGAGGGGTGTGTCTGCTGCTCAAGTCTTTGAACCATCAAACACATTCTCTCTTCCCATAATGCTAAAGCAGCTTTGTGGGCAAGTGGGCTGATATCAAAACCTCCTTAGATACAGTAGGTCAGCCACAGGCAACCTCCAGATTCAGATTATAAAAATAATTATAAGCTGCACACCCAGCCGGCTCCCCTGTGACTTCTGTGTGGAAAAATGTCACACGTCCTGGATTGGAAAACACACTGTCAGTGAAGAGAAACTATGCTGTGAAAACTGTTTCAATCAGGAGAGACAGCTGAATGAAGTAAAGATCATATTTAATACAGAATATGAGTGTACAGATTCACAAATTATTTGTGGTGATTGAGGCATATCTTAGTGGCTGCAGGATAAATCCCCCCATGAAGTCTGGACACTGGTGGTGGCTGCTGACTCTGAGGCTGCTGAGGCGTATGAGGCTGATGAATTTGTAAAGACAGGGTGGTGATGAGGAGGTGGAGGGCGCACACAACTGCAGCAAGAAAGAACTATGGAAGAGAAAGAACCATATTTAAAATGAGGAGCAGTAAGATGATAGGCTGACAGAGAAGGTGTGTTGCTGTACTTTTGGTTCATTGTGAATCAGCTGAAGAGCAGCCAATGACTCAATTTACAACCCTGGACAATGACAATCAGAAGCCATGTTTCCATCAGCCTGTTTAGATGCGCATCTAGAAGTATCGCATCGGAAAATTATGATGGAAACGCCAAAATTCAAATTAAAATCCCCTGATTCGCACAAACTAAAATGCGCTTGCTTTAGCCGGGTTTTGATTGATTCGAAAAAATGTTGATTCGCAAAACGGGGGATGGAAACAGTTATGTTTGAATTAAGTCTGACGTAGCGCACCTCTCTCCATGGTGATATCCACACTCCGGGTCGGGAAGGCGGTAATGCATTTACAAGCTGGTTGCCAACTGCCAGAAAACATAGAAGAAGAAGAATGCGAGATTTGTTTTGTTTCCGGTTCTGCGGAAAATTCGCGCGAGTTCGTAGTTTTCACCAAAGTCCGTACATTTAATGGAAACACACAGGATTCGTATTTCTTTTAATGAGCATTTCCCAATGATTCGAATCACTTTTGGATGGAAACATAGCTAATGATAGTGAGTGAGCATGTGTGCAAGGAGTGAATGGCAGGGTGAGAAAGGAAAGAAAAAGTATTGTCTGAGTTTCTTTACACAATAAACCAGTGTTAATTTCGGCAGCTATTTTAGATTTAGTCTTATTTTTTAGACAAAAATGCTTTTTAGTTTGAGTCACATTTTAGTCATTTTTATCCTTCATGGTTTTAGTCCAGTTGTTGACGAAAAGTAACGACACTTTAGTCAACTTTATATGCTTATTTAAAGACTTATCATTTAACGTTAGAGCTTGCTAATTTATTGCAGCTTAAGTGTAAGCTTAAGGATGATGGTTCCCACCTCTCCATCTCCTGTTACTACACTGCATTATGTTTTCCTTTCTGCCATATTATAAATTATTATTGTTCATTGATATATTCCGTTTTTCCGAACAATCCTTTTTCGTGTTGAAGCCATTGTGTTATTCTTGTCATCAGTCTGCAGCCCAGTCGCCACAAGTTAATGTTTGCATTGTACTTTTCTGTAAAACACAAACATGTTTGTTTATTTCATATGTATCATATTAACGTTTATAAAGTGACCTAGTATATGAGCTGATTTTGTCATTGGGAGTTGTTGTTTTTTAGTGAGTTATTTCTACGTTTTTAGCCGCTTTTTAGCCACCAAACATGGGTGTTTTTTTGCCACCCATCTCTGTTTTTCCACCAGGGACAGTGACATGAAAAGCGGTTGTTTTTTTACAGAGTTATCGCTACATTTCCACCAGGGATAGTGCCATGAAAGTGAATGTTTTTCTACCAAAACATTGTTGTGTTTTCAGCCGTGATTATGCCACCAAAAAAAATGTTTTTTTTTAAGCCCAAACATGATTTTCCCTAACAATACCTTAAACCTAAACAAACAATAACCACATAAATAAATGTAAAGTTTCAATGTATCTGCTTCATAATAATGTACTGTACAAATATAACATATCCGTGGTTTGCCGAAACATGAAATGCCAGCATTTATTCTGGCAATTAGACACACAGTTTGGGAAAAATATCATGCGATTCAAATGTCCGATAGCTCACCACTGACATTTTAGTCCCATTTTGTCTCGTCACCGAAAACAGTACATTTTGTCAAAGATTTTATTGTCAAAGATCTATTTTTAGCTTGTCATCGTCTCGTCTTAGTCATGGAAAAAAAGGTCATTGATGATCTTTTTTTTTTCATAGTTTTTGTTAAAGAAATTAACTCTGCAATGAACAATGCATTGGTCTGTCCCTGCTAGGTGTTGTGGCAAACTGGGATACATCAGATATCTTGAAATATTCATGCAGTGTCTTCACTACACTATGCCATCGGCTCTGTAATGAATAAAGTAATGTGTGTTGGCAGTAGGTCTTTTATGAATGTTATAAACAAAAATGAAACAGTCTGGTCTGAACACAGGATATTTACTAAACGGTTTAGCTTTTCTTTTGGAAAGGAGACTTCCCTCGTCCCTGTAATGCCATATCCAGAATGTTTGGGTGTTTTGATGTCACAGAAGAAATAGTTTTCTGCCTTGAATCTCTCATACAAACGTTCACGACTCATTTGTGCTGATATTTGTGAAGGAAAGACAATCTCTTGTTTGAACTTTCAAAGTGGTTCATTTTAAAACATGTAACAGTCAAAACCAAAAATAGAAATTGGAAATTCTGTGGACTGAAAGTATATCATATTGTCCCGTGTTTCTGTGTTTTAGCTTGCCACTGAATATTTCATACAATATGAGCATACATGCCAACCCAAAGTGGGGACTCTGGGGGTCCTCTGAAAGGAAAATGTGAGTTTCAGAGCTTAGTTTCCTGAATTCTGGAGAATTTTGAAGAATGAGAATAAATACATAAATAAATGTTAAATACATTTAATTTGGTTTAGCCTTCAGTTCATGCCCCTGGTACTCCATCAGAGTGCCAGGAGTGGCAAGGGATGCCTGGCTGTAGGCTTTGTCTGTGTCAGGGTTCTCCCTGGCCCATGCTGCTCTGGGTCCTAGATGCCTAAAGGGGGTGGAACAGGAAGCTCATAGTCTCCGGAAGACAGCTGAGTACCCTGTCATGGTGGAGGAGGGCAAGCTGGGTCCCCCCAAACTCCCAAGGCGCCCCTCAAACCCCACGATAGCAACCTGTTGAATTGAAGCCAATGCTGCATGGTCAGCATGGAGACAAGGTGTCAACCAGCAGCCGCGCCCAACTCATGCAGTCCGACAGATGCCCCTCTCCGGCCCTGGAGGGTCGTAGAAGCAGGGACAGAGAGGGAAGCGCCAACAAGGAGGAAACAATAGACTTTTAGAGTTGTAGGGCTTATACAGAAACAGGTTGTGATAACAAAAAGGAAAAAAGATGTGAAAATATGTCATAAATCAGGAGAAATACGGGAGGATTGTGACCCAGGGAGGAAACTGGAGGGGTACTATAAAAACTGGAGTCTCCTGGGAATATCAGGAGGGTTGGCAACTATGAATAAAGCTGATAGATGACACAGTGTAAGAGCTGCATGAACTCTGTGGAACCTGGGTACTATACAAAAAGGTCTGAACTCCATTTAAGGCAAAAAAAACAACAAAAAAACAACAACTTTGTGCATCTTTGTCAGATTTCAGAAAATAAAGATAAACACGTCGACACGTCAGCTATTTGTCATCATCGCGCTAACTGTTCTGATCCAACTAACATTCTTACACTGTTCAATCAGACTGCTCTCACTAATTGGCTAAAAATAAGGTCACAGGTTGTTTTTTTAGACTCTCCAAATAAATATGTTCAATGTTTTATTAAATTTGCTGGACTGTAATTTGGCCTGTAGCCTTGCAGAGGTGCAGTGTGTAATTTCCCATGCACCCTCTCGTCACCATCACACACTCTATCTCTCCCTCCGTGACAGCCTCGCACTGCTCGTGTGAGTGTGTGTTTGCCCTCAGTGCAGGGCCTCATCCCTGGCTGCCACAGCTGAATGTCCCCTCAGCATCGGCAAATAGCCAGACTCTGTCACAGCCGCTGACTGGACCAGCTGTTTCTTTCTCTTTCTTCCATCTTATCTCCTCCGTCACACTATCTGTCTTCCTCTCTGTGAAAGAGGCAGTGATCGGCCGCCTGGTGGTGCAGCACTTGACACCAAAGTTGATATCCACACATGCTGGCAGCGGTGGGAGACAGTTTTGACTCTGTGTGTGTGTGTGTGTGTGTGTGTCTATGTGTGTGTGTGTTTGACAGGGCAGCCGGGACACAAACACCATCCTGTGGATTGTGGGAACACAGAGGACAGTTACACTCTCTGTTGTTTTTTGTGGTGCTGGTGACAGACCGACAAGTGGGAGGAGGACAGTGAAGGTCAGAGGGTGCTCAGTTTGGGACGCGGCTGGTCAAACCCAGTTAGACAAACAATGAAAGTGAAATGGGATGGGTCCGGGCTTAAGCTGTCTGGCCGTGCCTTGGCCCAGGCTGCTGGCGTAGACACTTTTTTGTGCCCTGTGCATCTCACATTGGGAGTTATCAGAGCGTGCAGGCAGGGAGAGTCATACTGTAGCAGCAGCAGCAGGCTAAGAGTAGTAGTAGCAGCTCGCTGGGGGCTGCAGAGGGTCCTGGATCTGACCTGATTTGTCAATTCGATAACTTCACTGAAGTGTCGCTCCTCCGGGGAATCATTGGCTTCTAATTCAGCAATCATGGTTCAGGCAGGGGACTTGCTGTTTCATGTTTTGTTGAGAGAAAATTGGGGTGCATAATGGATTTATCGGAAGTGCAATTTGACATCAAAGTGTAACATCTGAGGAGGCTCTGATTGTCCCGGACTGTCTCACCATGGCTTACCCAGAGCACTTTGATTGGTTGAAAGAGACCGTCAGTTTTTTGCCAGGTAAGAGCAGCGATTTAATGAGTGTATGGCTTCAGATAAAAATGTAGGAAGATACATTCATCATCAGAGCTGTGATTTAACACGCTGCAGCTTTCTGATCATCCCCAGTCTTTAAACATGATTTGAATGAGTGATGTTACAAACTTCCCAGCGTGTTGTAAACACTGCACGAATGATAAAAAGCCTCTTCTTCAGCTGGAGTTGTTTACTGCTCCACAGATCCATCTACGGGGAATGGGAGGTGAAATGCATGTCTGTATAAACAGTTTTTGAGCCAATTAAATCATCTGAAGGAACAAGGTCTGGAGAGAACAAGTGAATGCAAATGGGACAGAATTGAACAGCACACAACAAAGCAGGGCAGGACAAAAGAGGCGACGGATAACAGAACCAAGACACTATTGATGAGGAACACATTTCGCATCACTTTGTGCATTTTTTCTGTCACTCAAAACCAAGTAAAGCTGCGTTCAAGAACACTGGGGAAACGATAATACCTTGAGCAGAAATCAGGTTTTGGTTTCATGAAACATTTGACCTTTCAATTAAATTAGGAATTCCTCCTCTTCCCTGTAGCGGCAAACGAAGCAGAGAACTTTGCCCCTCCCTCAACTTGTTTATCAGAAGGAACTTGTGTCCTTTTCATGTTGCATTTTAAATTATGTATGAAGCATATTTGCATATTTGTGCATGAGTGAATGCTCTGCATCTCAGTACCAAATGATGCTTCTAAATTACAATCTAAAGGATGCAAAATTAATGTGGTGTTGGGAAAACACATGAATACGTCATGCTGCTGCAGAGCGTTAGCATGCGCTAGGGACCCAAAAATAGACACAGTATATACAAACACACACATGCATAGAGCCTCTGTTTTCCTGTAGTGTGAGGCAGGTTCCAGTGAAAGTGTCCGTGTGTGTGTGTGTGTTCTGGTGTTGTACAAAAGGGGAAATGCCTGTGGAGGCTCAGATGGTGACAGATGGTTCTAAGACAAATCAGCCTGGGAGTCAGGATCTCTGCCCTGGGACGAGTAGCCCCTTTAAGTATGTTTGTGTCAGAGTGTTAGTGTGTATGTGGAGCATGTGTGATCTTATAATGCGTCTTTGTGTGTCCATGCGTGGCCGAGCATCTCTGTGTTATGTGTGTACAGTTTTGTAAACTCACAGTGTGTGTATGTGTACATGCGGTTATGTAATGCGTCTTGTGACGACAGGCTGCATGTGACAGTAACATCAAGATGGATCTCTTTTACATATTTAAAAATATTCTGGACAGGGTTTCCCAAAGAAAACGCAATGTATAGACTTAATCAAAACTAATCCTTTCACTTTTGACCCACCAGAAGTGTGTGGTGGTGTATTTATCTGCAGAGACTCAACCCTCTGCCTGTGTTTTCTTGTTATGCCTCTGTGCAAGCGGAAGCATTATGTTTGCGGGTTGTCCACCCGTCCGTCTGTCCCTTTCTTGTGAACACTTTATCTCATGAACGCTTTGAGGGAGTTTTTCAAATTTGACGCAGACATCCACTTGGACCCACCGATAAACTGATTAGATTTTGGTGCTCAAAGGTCAAGGTCACTGTGACCTCGTCTGTCCTGTTCTTGTAAACGCGGTATCTGAAAAACAGCTTTAGGACATTTCTTCAAATTGAGCACAGATGTTAACCTGGACTTAAAGATAAACTGATTAGATTTTGATGGCCAAAGGTTAAGGTCACTATGACCTTGCACTCTTCTCATTCCCGTGAGCACTTTATCTCAAGAAGGCCTTGAGGGAATTCCCTCAAATTTGACACAAGGTCCACTTGGACTCAAGAATGAACTGATTAGAATGTGGTGTACAAAGGTCAAGGTCACTGTGACCTCGTCTGTCCCATTCTTGTGAATGCAATATCTCAAAAATAACTTGAGGGAATTTACTCAAATTTGGCACCAACCTTAACTTGGACTCATTGGTGGTCAAAGGTCAAGGTCACTGTTACCTTGTACATGTACATCATTTCGTGAATACAATATCTCGAGAAGGCCTTGAAGGAATTTCTTCAAATTTGACACAAACATCCAATGGGACTCAAGAATGAACTGATTAGAACTGGGTGGTTGAAGGTCAGGGTCACTGTAACCTCACAAAACATGTTTTTAGCTATAACTCAAGAATTCTTCACTGATTATGACAAAATTCCACATAGATGTCTAATAGGATAAAATAATGATGTGATGACATTCTATATCCAAAAGGTCAAGGGTCAGCTTCACTGTGACATCATAATGTTCTGCAAAAACACTCTTCTGGCCATTACTCAGCGTCATATCTCAAGAACATTTAGTTTGAAACTGAATTGGTGACACTCATCTTGGGTACCCACCTTGATCTTCTGTGCTGCTGGGTTGAAGATGTGTGTGAAGCATCCATGTTTTCACTGACATGGATATAAACTGCACAGCATGAGTGGTTCGTGGCAGCAAACAACTGCGGGGCGGTAATTCTACTTTTCTTCTTGTATTGCTGTGGTCGGGACATTTCTGGGCACGGTGTGCAGGTGAGGTCAGCATCCAAGAGGAAGCTATGAAAATTGCTGATACAGCATTGAAAAGCGCAAATATAGCGAGTCCAAAAGCCAAATGGTTGGCTTTCACTTTTACTTTTGCTGGTGAACAGTAGCCAAAAATTCCTGTGTAGTATCTAGGGCTGGGTATCATTTAAAAAAAAAAGATACCAGTACCAGTATCAATTCCCTTAGAGTGATGCTGTACCTTTTTTCTAGATCTGGGTTCAAAAAGGATTGAATGCAGGTATCGTTTGTTTAGAGCAGTTTTGGGACTGCATTCATTCTGTTGATATTTTAAAGGTTTTACCGCTACCCAGCCCCAGTAGTATAAAGAAGTGTTCACATGTTATGTATTTCTGTGGCAGAGCGATATACATTTAGTTAGCTTCCCTCAGCTCCCTCAGAGCTGTGGATTATGACTGAATACATACAACACGCTCACAGCTGATGCAGTCACAGCTCACTCCAGCCTTACACACACCAAGAATAATGGAGCTCCATAATCTCTGCCATATATTACCAGGTGCAATTTCTCATCAGAGTGACACTGTTACTCTTTGGCAGAATAACCTTGCAGGCATTAGTCTGAAACTTCACAAAGTGCTTTACAATCTGCCCATAAATTACAGCTCAAGAGGTGCTTATGTGGCAGCCAGGAGGAGTTGCGCAGTTAGTTGTTCCTCTGGCCTCTGCATGGAGGCAATTCCCAGGGGCCTCTACACTTAAAGTACAGCTCAGTCCAAACCTGTTTCCACTGTAGTGAGAGGGCAGCTGTTAAAAGCTCTGCAGGAGTAAGTTTGGGCTGTGCATGCATCTCCATCTGCTGCCGTACATGTGTTCGGTGGTGTGTTTGTGTACGTGCATGTGTTGTTGTGTCTCTTAGCAGTTGAGCCTGGCCTAGACGACTTAAGCCCTGCTAGCCTTTAATAATCTCATTCCCAAGATGTACCATCTAGGTCAGGGGTTTCCATCTTCACTATGGCTGCTTACAGACCACAGAGAGGGTGAAGGAGGATGTCCCAAAAACATTTTTATGTCTCATAAAATACAAGTTGAATTAAAAAATCCCTCTTGTTGAGCTCAACTCAATTGACAGGAAGCCCTGGCAGATTTACCACTTAAAGTTTTTGGACTCAGTCTTATTATCCTCTGCGCTTCAGTTGTGATCTTAGTTGGATGTGGCATTACAGGATTTGTTTTTGTTTGTCCATTGCTCTAAGGTAACAAGGGCTTCAGCTACTGCATGTGTCAGCTGATGATTCAGTGCACGGCTGCGATCAGGCCCAGTTTAGTCACTGTGTGTTGCAGTGCGGTGACTGCAGACGGCAACTTTGTCGTCGATATTTACACAATATTTGAGCGTCGCCTTCTGTCGGTCTTCCTCTCCCAGGAGCTGTTGTTCAGCCTCATCCTTGCTGTTGTCTTCATTGACTTTGTTTTGGAATGTCATTTCCAATCAGCATTATGTCTACGTGTCAGTGCTTCATCTCGCAGAAGCCACTTTGTGTACATGCGCTGAAAATAGCAACAAGGTCAGAAACCTTGGGTCAATTTGTGGAGGTTTAGGTGGACATCAGCCAAGAGTGGAAAGGGTTGCTGATATGTCTGCATTGCATAAGAGATTTGTAGCTCAGCACAAAATGGAAAAGATTAGAGCTAAGGATTGTTAGACTTTTGTTTTTGCTGGTTAACTAAGGGAGGATACCTGTGGGGAGTATTTAAGTCATGTGTTTTTGTGAATCAGACCATGTGATGCACCAGGGGAAAGACAAAGAACAATCGTGTTTCCTCAATGACCTACCTCTCTGTTGGATGTTTCCACTATAGTTGTGAATGTAGTTTTGGATGTTTAATATATCAGCACACAACAATTTGCTGTTATGTAAAGATTTAGTGGAGCAATGGCGTCCTGAGGCAGAGAAGTAAGACACGCTCCCTCTTGGTGTATTCTGTTATTGGATGTAATATAAGATCTGGATCTCAGTATATAATGAGAATTGCTCATCTGGTGCATATGTCAAAAAAATTTCTAGCTTCAGGATTTACTTCTGGGGTATACGCCCCTACTGAATATGCACAGTAGTGTTTCTTCCAACGGCCCCGCCTGTGAGTTCTGGCTTGTCTTGTAGACTTTAGATTGTAATTGTATATTTATTTTCTACAAATTTAAAACCTCCATGGATCAAAGATTCACAATAGGAAGAGTCATGATTGACCTTGTTTGACCTTTTATAATGGTGGTCTATAGGGAAAATGCATTTTGGGCCACAGGGGATTTCTTTGCTGCAATACCGAGAATGGCCACTGGGAAAAATACGATTTGATTTATTGGACAACAAATACATGTTAGTGTGAGTCGGAGTCCCTTTGTTTGTATCCAACTGACTAACTCAGTGGTTCCCAACTGGTGGGTCGTTGTCCAAAAGTGGGTCACGGGTCCATTCTGAATGGA